GGCAAGGTTAGTGCTCCAGAGACAAAGGGGAGAATGTGGCAGACTCAGATTCAAATTCTTCCTTTATTTAGGAGCCATATGTCCTGCTGACTTTCAACTTTCCCCATCTGTAAAATGGAGAAGATGCTGCCCAGCTCATAGGATGATGGGAAAGATTCTGATGAGAGGCAAAGCATGAGAATGTGCCCTCAAAGGGGCAACTTCAGTGACCTGAAGCCCTCCAGGACTTAGTAGGGGGTTGTGGTGAATTCTAGGTGCCCTGCTCCCTCCTGTTGTTGTTGTTGTTAAGTGCCATTCGAGTTGCCCATAGCGACCCTGTATAGATAGGGTTTCCGAGAAGCAGCTGGTGAGCTTGAACCGCCGACTCTGCAGTTTGAACTGGTGCATTAACCCACAGCACCACACCAGGGCTCCTATATTAAGTCTCAAATTGGTCAGTTTCCTGAAAATCTATCCACTCACATGCTGACCTAGTTCTCTTCTTGACACACTAGACTCCCAGCTACGTCTGATGTTGGTTCGCCCTTCCCATATCCTTGGACAGGTTCTCCTGCAACAGCCTCCTTGAGGCTCACCCAGCCTCCACTTCCTCTTCTTGCAGCTACCTGGAGATCTTTCAAAACTGATGCCCACCTTCCTACTCAGAATCTCCTATGACGCTCTAGGGTTTCCATGGCCAACCCTCTGCTCCTTTGAATGGCACGAGAACCTCCTGCCCACTTTTCCAAGCTTATCTCCCTTCACAACATTTCCTTCTGAGTTCGCATCTGTTTCCCAGTGCCCTGCTATAAGTCTACCTTCCCTTTTAAATTTGACTCACTTGCTACCTTCCCAGTCTCTGTGCCTATTTGTGTTCCAGCTGGGTCAGGTGCCCCCAAAGCTCGTTGCTTCCCACCTCCCTGGATGGTCTGTCATGAACTGTGAGTCCCTTGAGGGCAAACCCTCTGGTGTTTTTGATGTCTGCTACCAGGTCCCACATGATGTGGCACTCAACTAGATGGGCTCAGTGTAAGAAATGTGAGGGCCCCTGCCAGCCAGATTTTCATTGTCAAAACTTCCAGAAATCTAGATCATATATGAAACCTTCTAATTTAAAAATATACTCTGAGTTGCTTAGGGTGTCTGGGGGTGCATGAGTAAATAAGTAAAGTTGAGGCAGCCACTGGACCACCCACCCAGGTGTCCCATGTCCCTTCTTTATGATACAGCCATGGTGATTGTGTTCCCAGGGGGCATTTGGCAATGTATGTAGGATAAGCACTGGACTGCTAATCACAAGGTTGGCTGTTCAAACCCACCAGCCTCTCTGCAGGAGAAAGATGAGCTTTTCTGTTCCTGTAAAGATTTACAGTCTCGGAAACCCTATATAGGGTCATCTGAGTCAGAATTGACTCACTGGCAGTGAGTTTGGCTCATTTTATAGTAGACATTTTTGGTGTCACATTGTGAATAGTAGTATTATGAATGTATACTAGATAAAGGCCAGGGATACTGCTAACCATTTTATAATGAACAGAATTGTTGTTGTTAAGTGTTATCAAGTCGGTTCTGACTCTTAGCCACCTTATATAGGGTTTCTGAGGTGTGGCTGGTGAGTTTGAACCAATGCTTAACACTACAGTGCTTAAAAATGTCTATAGTACCAAGGTTGAGAAACTTTGCTCTAGAGTTGTTGCCCAGCTGGAGACTACATTTCCCAGCCTCCTTGGCATCTAGGTGAGATCATGTGATTGTTGTTGTTGAGTGCTGTTGAGTCGGTTCCAACCCATAGCGACCCTGTACAGAGTTTCTGAGGCTGTAAATCTTTACAGGAGCAGAAAGCCTCATCTTTCTCCCATGGAGCGCCTGGTAGTTTCGAACTGCTGACCTTGTGGTTTGCAGCCCGATTTGTAACCACTACGCTACTAGAGCTCCTTGAGATCATGTGATTAGTTCTCTCCAATATGAATGGAAGTGATGTGTGCTAGGTTGAGAAAGATGTTAAAATGTTGTTGCTGTTAAGTGCCGTCAAGTCGGTTCTGATTCAGAGTGACCCTGTATAGAGTTTTCGAGGAGTGGCTGGTGAGTGTGAAGCACTGACTTTGTGGTTTAATCCAACCTTACAGTACAGTGCTTATCCTACAGTGCCACACCAGATGTTAAGTATCCACTAAGTCCTGGTATGGTGAAGTAAGATCATCACTAGACCTCAAGGCCGGTTTCAACCACAAGACTGGCAGTTCAAACACACCAGGCCTTCCTTGGAAACCCTATACAGGGTCACTTTGAATCGGAAATGACTTGGCAGCACTTAACAACCATAACAATATCTCTTCCATTGTATGCTACCTTCTGGACGTGTTGGCAGATGAAAGGGACATCCAAAACTGAAGTTGAGCAGAGCTTCAAGACGGAAAGAGCCTGGCTCTCTGTCACCTGACCAGGAGCACCACCATTCGAGTGGTGTTTGAGATAGGAATAAACGTCTATGGTGCTACGTTACTGAGATTTATGTTTGTAACAGCACACTACGCTACCTCTCTGAGTGGCTTTATTGGCTCACCCTTATTCCTTTTCCCTAAGGCCTCTGGTAGCGTAGTGGTTACGAATCAGGCTGCAAACCTTAAGGTCAGCAGTTTGAAACTACCAGCTGTTCTGCGGGGGAAAGATGAGGCTTTCTGCTCCTGTAAAGATTTACAGCCTCAGAAACCCTGTATGAATCGGAACCGACTCCACGGCACATAACAACAAGGCCTCTAGGGCAGCAGTGTTATGGTCACTGACTGCCTATTCTTAGCTTCTGGGTCCAAGGCCAGGAGTGCTCATGGATGGAGTGGGACATCTGGTTGAATTAGGACACAAAACCACCAACAGTTACAATAGGGATGATGGTTAACCCAGTTCTGAGCAAGGGCAGGACCCAGGCCAGGTAAGGGAAGAGTGATGAAGGCTGGGAAGTGGCTGCTCAGAATCACTGATGCCACATCATCCCACAGTCTGGTAGGAAGAGCTTCTGTCCCTAAAATAATCTTAGGAGCTTAGTATGTGCTAGACTCTATATGTTGAGTTGTGAAAACAGAGGATCGGTGAAGTTAAACAACTTGAACCAAATAACGCAGAACCAAGAAAGTGATGATGCAGAGACTGCCCATGTTTTTTTAGCCCCATCAGTGTATCTCAAAGTTTATCAGATGTTTTTGGCCATTTGTTGAGCATTGATGTTCCAGTATAGGGGGCAAATTGTAAGCACTGGTGTTCATTTCCCTAGGAGTGGCCCGTAGCCAGTGATGGATGAGATGGAGACTATCACAGCTCCCTTGATCTTTGCGTGGGATAACTCTGAAGTGCATCTTCTACACTCTCTCCCAGAGTTCTGTAGTGGGATTGAGCCCGTTACCCACATTGGTAACCTACTTAATAGACCCTTTTCAGCTTCCTGCCCTTCCTTATCTCATTTCCCCACTCACCAACTGGGACTCTCTCAAATCCTTGTCTCAGGGTTTGGGAAAATCCAACCTGAGACATAAACTATGGTTTGCACACAAGTTGATTTGAGGTGGCACCGATGATCTTTTAAAAACAGGCTACTTAAAGACATGAATTAAAAAAGGACAAGCAAAAACCATCCAGTAAATAAAAGATTAGCAATAGGGCAAAAATTGCAAAAGTAGTATGGGAATGGCACCTAGGAACCAGTGTACTGTGTAGGGTTCTAGGTGAGGTGGCTCTTCCTCCTAGCAAGAATGTATGCACGTCCTCATGTACGTTCACTGTTTAGCCCTGCATCAGCTTGGCTGTGATTCCCTTTTTGCCAGGCCTGCTAGGCAGCTCAGAGAGAAATTTTCTGCTCAGTTGTGTTTTCATTCCTGAAGGATTTCCCACTTCTGACATACAGTTTCTCAGCTTTCTGAGTTCACATTGAACTGATTTGTGGTAATGGCTGCTTCAGAATCTGCTTGGCAAGAGGCGGGAAATGCATTATAAGCAAATAGAGAATGTTAGTAAGTTTCATTCAGACAGACCTGGTTTCAAACCCCAGCTTCACAATTTATCTGGCATTAAATAATGTGGACAGGCAGTTGTATCACATTCCAATCCTTGGCTTCCTCATTTATAAATGTGGAAGACGAGGACCTACTTCCTGGTGAGGATTAAGTGAAATGAACATAAAAGCATCAGGCACAGAGCTTGGTCTATAGTAAATGATCAGAGTTCACTGCTATGATTATTATCATTACAGCGACTTTCGTTCCAGTGAGACAAAAAGGCGCAAACACAGTGCCAGGTACAATTCTAATGCCAGTGTCTCTTTTTGACAATTGGAAATGAAAAGAAAACCTCAATTATTGAGCTAGGCTGTAAGCTCTTTGAGGACAAGGGACACGTTTGTTTTATTCACCATTAAATTAAGACCTAGTACAATGTCTAGCGCATACTCAAACTTTGTTCAACAAATAAACAAGTAGCTGAAATCCTCTCTCAGGTGGATATCATAGCTTAAGGAAATGGAGACACAGAGACACAAAACAATGTGAGTGTGTCAAAGCCCCCAGGTCAGCAGGCAACCCCTCCCTCCTTGCCCATACCCACCCCGCTATCCTGAGCCCTGAGTCCAGCTCTTCCCAGAGAAAAATGAGCTTATTTCAGTCTGTTCCTCAGTGACCACAAAGACTCAGCTCTGTCCTCAGAAATATTTGGAAAGTTTTATTTAAATGTTTTGAGTTCCCTTTTAACCAACACCAAAAAGAGAAAAATTTTTGCTGTTCCAAACAGGAGAGTCGCTTCAGAGAGGAGCTGGCATGCGTGTTGGGAGCTGGGAAGTGTCTGCCCCAGCCTGGGCCACCCTGGGGTTGGGGGCCAGTCCCTTGGATCCCGAATGGCCTTGGAGTGAATGAGTGAGCAAACTTCATCTGAAGAGAGGGACATGGTCTCCTCTGCAGCAGGGCTGGGCTTGAGGGCAGGGGCCAAAGCATGGTGGGACCTGGTGGGCTCCTGGGCGAAGGAAAAAGGGGATGGGTACATCAGATCCAGAATGTTCCATGGAGGCTCCAGGGCCTCCGGGTCTGGGGAAGTATGTTTGCTAGAAAAAAAAGATGCTTTGAGAATCCTGCAGTCTGTGCTCTCTGGCTGCCAGAGAGAAACCTACCCTGTTGGCCAAAGGAGCAGTGGGGAGGGAGAGGAGGCCGGGGACCAGGAGTTGGTCTGGCCCTGGTGGAGGATTCCAGAGAGGAGCCAGGCAGGCGGCAGGCTTTGGTTTCCTGGGTCCCCTTTATGGCAGCTGTGGAGGCTGCATAAGATTCTGCCTTCCACCCCTTGAGGTGCGGGCTGCCAGGCAGGAGGGCAGTGCTGGGAGAGGGAGGCTGGCCATCTGTCATGGGCTGATGTGTGCCCAGGCCTTGGGCCCTCAGAACAGGATGCTCACAGGGAGCAGGGCCAGCAAGAGCAGCAGGGAACCTGGAGAGGGGCTGCCCGCTGAGCTGTCCAAGGCACAGTGGTCGCGGTTGGCACCGATGCAGGCTGCGTAAGCCATCACGTGGGGAATGTAGTTCTGCTCATGGACGCCGTGGAGCAGGTGTGCCATGGGGCCTTTGGCGAAGACTGCTACATCCTCCCCGCCGTGCGTCTCATGGCGTAGGGGCACAGCCGACTGAGCCTGGTAGTTGTTGTGAGCTGCGGGCCAGAAGAAACAGTTGCTAAGTGGCTGCCAGGCAGAGGGGTCTGGCACTATGTGTGTAGCTTCTCTGTTCCTCTTCCAGGTTGAATTCAATGCCCCCATTTTATAGAAGAAGAAACCGAGGCTCAGTGCAGTGACGTCATTTTGCTCAAGGTCATAGAATTTGAACTTGAGTCTGTTCTTAATCAGAAGAGCCTATACTCTTATTTCCCCAAAGAGAAGATGAACTTAATTTGGGGTATCTGAGTCCCTGGGTGGCACCAAGAGTTAAGCTCTAGGCTTCTAACCAATAGGTTGGCAGTTCTAATCCACCTAGAGGTGCCACAGAAGAAGGGCTTGGAAATTTACTTCCAAAAGATCAGTCATTGAAAATCCTGTGGAGCACAGTTCTACTCCCACATGCACAGAATTGATCCCAAGGCAATTGGTAACTAGTAGGCTGTTTGGATTAGCAGGGAAGAATCAAATGAAGAAGTGGGGCTTGCCTTTTACCATGGGCTGGATCATTAGACTCCCAGGGGTCTCTCGGGGTATCAACAACAAATTAATAGTCAATAATATGAAAACTGAATGAACAAGATGGGAAATCCATATATTGGAAATCTACATATACTATATATTGGAATACTATAAATAGCCTGGTGTATAAAGATTTACACCCTCGGAAACCCTGTACAGGGTCGCTATGGGTCGGAACCGACTCGACGGCACTTAACAACAACAACAACATACATATGGAGACCTGGTGTGGTGCTATGGGGTAATGCACTGGACTGAAAGTTCTGTTTGAACCACAAGGTTAGAGGTTGAAAATCACCAGCCGCTCCTTGGAAACCCTCTACAGGGTCAGAACCGACTCGAAGCCACTTAACAACAACAATAACAACAAATATATAGCCAGTAAAAATGTATAACACATCTAGCACCTACCTGTACCAGACACTGCACTAAGTAACTCTCCACCCATCTCATGCTTTAGACAGCCTAGGGAGGTAGTATCCTTTATGGAGAAACTGGAACCTGGGAAACGTGGAAGTTTCACATGCCCTAAGTCACACAGTTGCTAACTTGTAGAATGGGAATCCAGTTTAGATGATGAGTTTGACTCAAGTCCTAGCTATTCTGAGACCTATAAGTCTGTACCAGCAGGGAGCTTTGTACCCTCCCAGTCCTGGTTGTGGCCGCCTCACCATAGTCCACCATGGAGACGTTCTCCCGTTCACCAGCCACCACTTTGTAGCCAGGCCCGTTGCCATACAGGATAGAAGTGAAGGGCTTCTTGTCTGTGTCACTCAGCATGGGGGCCAGACCTGCAGGGGAGGGGGTGGTACTAGGATCATGTTGGAGCACCAGGAGCCCACCCCTACAGCCCCCAACTTGGGCTCAAACACTCCCAAATCCTATTTACTTCTAACCAACCATCTTCAATTCCCACCATGCCCACATCTTTCCCACCCACACATCCTCTCCTGTCTGTTATTCATGTATTCATTCTCTTCCATCCATCTTCTTTGTAGCCATCCATCCTTCCACCCAGCGATTCACCCAATCATGCACTCAACCCATTCCATCTCCACGTCAAACATTCTCCCCACCCACCAGTAACCTTTCTCTTCTACCCAGTTCCTGCCATGTGCCAGGCCCTGGATTGGCTGGCTGTCCCACCCCACTTCTCTTCCCAGATGGACAGACCCTGTGAGTGCCCAGTGCCCACTCCAATGGAGGCCCACCTACCAAAAATGGAGTTGCCACGGGGGGTGTAGCCACCGAAGGTGAAGACATGGGAGTGATCAGCAGTGACTACAGTCAGTGTGTCTTCTAGCGAGGTCATGGTGCCCGCCTGGCCGATGGCCTGGTCCATCTCCACTGCCTCATGCAGCGCCTGCTTGGCTTTGCCTTCATGGTGCCCATGGTCAATCCTACCTCCTTGGAACATCAGGTAAAGGCTTTGAGTTAGGGGGAAGATGACCCATACCCCACCCCTACCATCCATCCTATGGCCTGAATAACTTTTCTTTGATAGGGGAGAGCAGTCACCTCCACTGGGTACCTACTGTGCACCAGGTACCACACAAGCCAACCTTACAGGGGTCTCATAAAGGGAATGTCTTGACCAAAGTCACACATACAGAACGCGCAGAGCAATGATTTGAAGCAGATCCACCTGACAGAAAAGTGTGTGCTCTTCCCGCCACCCCACTCTGCTCTCGTCCCATTTCTTCAGCTGATTAAAGCTGAAGACTACAGGGGTGCAGGGAAGGCGAGTCAGCATGTCTGGGTACTACTACGTGCCAGGCACACCAAACTGATGTCTCGTTTCCCCTTCACAACAATCTTGGGCAGAGATGGGTACTGCCAACCCCATTAACAGAGGGAGCAGATGAGGCCTAGAGTGAGGAAGTCACATGACCAGGATGGTATTTGCTGAGGTTTGGATTAAAGCTCCTGTTTGTCTTTCTCCACCATGAGTACATTCGCTCTACGTGTAAGATGCAGGAGTTGCTCCGGCATACAGGATGGTGGAAGTTCTTAGTGCCTGAGCCCTGCCCATGGCAGCTTCCATAGACCTCTTGAAACCTGAAGCCTGTTCTGCATCCCCTAGATGAGCACAGAAGGCCTCCCTGTGTGACCTAAGTGGTCTATGAGGCTGCCTAGGTGGATACTTCCAGCTTTGAGGGTTGTGGAGCCTGGACTTTAACTGCTTTGGCTGGGCAGCCTGACAGGGTGGATCTTCCCTTTGTTGTGGCTTTGGGAGCAGCTGGCCTGGCAGCCCGATCCTGGCTCTGCTTACAAAGACAGTTACTCCCAGGGGAGTTCATGTTCACCACCGCTCGTTCCTGGCGTCAGAGGCCTGTTCGGGGCCAGAATGAGACCGCCGTGCTGAGTGGGAACCCCTGGGGTTTGGCAAGAAAGTAGCCAAGCCAAGCTGGCAGCCACAAGCCTCTGGAGGGTGGAGGGACCTGTGTGTGTGTGTGTGTGTGTGTGTGTGTGTGTGTTTGTGTTTTGCAGCGGGGGAGGGGAGAGACCATGAGAGATTATATGTGCTTGTATGTCCACATGTGTGTGAGTCTCTGTGTGTTTACATGTGGATCCCAATGAGGCAACATCAGGAACCACGGAAGACAATAGCTGTTAGAACTGTGGAAAAGTCCAGAATATCACTTCCCGACACTTCCTATTGTTATTAACTTAGCTATGATGGTGATATAAATGAAAACACTGAGGTTTTATTTGCTACTGGGACCTGTTCCAAGTACTTTATGTCTCTGGATGCAATGGAGACTTACAAGAGAGTGAAGCGGTTTTTATCTGCATTTTACAGAAATGTTCAGGTAATGGTTATTTTCTGTGGGTGGTAGGAGAGCTCGTCAGACTCCGGGGCTTCATGACAGTGCTGGGAACCCTGTGAATGTGGGGCTGAACGTGCAGCACTAGAAAGTCAAGGACCTTCCACAGTCAGGCCAAAAGGAGGAAGCCTGTCTCCTCCCTAACTGAGAAAGCTGGGGTCCCTTTGCGGTGCCCTGCCTGCCCTAGGATTCCACAGTCCACACCTCTCACCTCCCTAGTTCCATGTCAGGGTAGTTCTCCTAGAGAGCTGGATGCCCCATCCCAGGGCTAGAGTGATGTACGAGAGCTTGATTCCAGGCAGCCTTGATCCAGGGCTGTATCCCTGTAGCCAGGTTGGGAGTCCTTACCTTCCACCAGCAAGAAAAAGCCTTTGGGGTTCTTCTTCAGGATCTTGATGGCCACCTCCACCATTTCCGAGAGTGACGGGTCAGTCACATTGTTCCTGTTCAGCTCATACTGCATGTCCCCTGGCTCAAAGAGACCTGAGGAGGACAGGGGGGCCTGGATGGTGCGAGTCCATGGTTCTGCTACAAGGACCCTAAAGCAGCTGGGGTCTCTCAGGGCACACATTCCCTATACTCAGCTTGGGGGTAGAGTGTGATGAAGGGAAGGGAGCTTATCTGGGGGCCCATATGGGCCCAGGATCATACCAGTCACTTTGGAAATGCTGCCTTCTTGAATCTTCATAACCATCCCCTATGAGGGTACCATCATGCCCATTTTGCAGAGGAGAGTGAGGCTCAGAGGGTGTTTCAGTAATTTTCTGTTTCCATTGGTAAGCAAAGCATGTTGCTGTGATGCTATAAGCTGTGTCACCAGTATTCCAAATACCAGCAGGGTCACCCATGGTTGACAGGTTTCAATGGCAGATCCATGCTAAGACTGGGAAGAAAAAGCTGGCAAGCTACTACTAAAATAATGGCCGGTGAAAACCTTACAAATAGCAGCAGAAAGAACATTACCTGATACAATGCCAGAAACCCTTACAAATAGCAGTAGACCATTGTCTGATACAGTGCCAGAAACCCTTACAAATAGCAGTAGACCATTGTCTGATACAGTGCCAGAAGATGAGACCTTCAAGTTAAAGGCACTCAAAATACAACCACTAATGGCAAATATGAAGACATTGAAGATATTTAAACTTCTTCAGTCTGAAATTGATGAGATATGAACTCAAAATGCATTGACAATGGCATCTTGGTGATTGGAATATGAAAGTTAGAAACAAAGAGGAGGATCAGTAGTTGGAAAAGTATGGCCTTGGTGATAGTAATGATGCTGGAGTTTGCATGGTAGACTTTTGCAAGACCAGAGACTTATTTGTTACAAATATTTTTTTTCAGCAACATAAACTGTGACTTTGTCAGATGGAATACACAAGTGTCAAATTGACTACATTTGGGAAAGTGACTATGGAGAACATCATACATGAAGAAAGCAATATCATTAGCCATAGCTAACTGGAATAGGCCATCAGTTGCTCATACGCAAGTTTAAATTGAAGCTGAAGAAATCCAAAACAAATCCATGAGAGCCAAAGTAAGAGCCTGAATCTATTGTTGTTGTTGTGAGTTGGTTTCAACTCAAAATGACCTTATGCACAACAGAACAAAATGCTGCCTGGTCCTACACCAACCTCAAAACCGTTGTTACACTCGAGTCCATTGCTGCTGCCACAGTGCTAATCCATCTCATTGAGGGTCTTCCTCTTTTTAGCTGACCCTCCACTTCACCTAACATGATGTCCTTCTCCAGGGACTAGTCCTTTCTATAATATGTATGAAGTATGAGAGACTAAGTGTCATAATCCTGGCTTCTAAGGAGCATTCTGGCTGTACTTCCAACACAGATTTGTTTGCTCTTCTAGCAGCTCATGGTACTTTTAATATTCTTCTCCAACATCATAACTCAAATGCATCAATTCTTCTATGGTCTTCCTTATTCACTATCCAACTTTCACATGCATATGAAGCTATTGAAAATGCCATGGCTTGGGTCAGGCCCACCTGAGTCCTCAAACTGACATCTTTGCTCTTTAACATTTTAATGAGGTCTTGTGCAGCAAATCTGTCCAATGTAACACATTGTTTGATTTCTTGACTGTTGATAGTGGATCTAAGCAAAATGAAGTCTTTCACAACTTCAATCTTTTCTCCATTTATCATGATGTTCTTTATTACTCCAGTGGTGAGGATATTTGTTTTCTTTACATTGAGTTGCAACCCAAACTGAAGGCTGTGCTCTTTGATCTTTATCAGTATTTTAAGCAAGCAATGTTGTATCATCTGCATATCATAGGTTGTTAATGAGTCTTCCTCCAATCCTGATGCCCCATTCTTCTTCATATAATCCAGCTTCTCGTATTATTTGCTCAGCATACAGATTGCAAAAGTATGGTGAAAGAATACAACCCTGGCACAAACTTTCCTAATTTTAAACCATTCAATGTCCCCTTCCTATGTTTGAATGATGCTTCTTGGTCTACGCACAGGTTTCTCATGAGCACAATTAAGTTATGAACTACTCACTTTCAACACTCATGGAAGCAACAGTCAAGAAATCTAATGCACTGAACACTAGTGATTGAAGATCAGAGAAGTTGAGTGATGACATGAAGAACATCATACATGAAGAAAGCAAAAGGTCATTAAAAAGATATGAAAAAATTCAAGCCTCAACCTGAAATACTAAAGGATTCTATGGGCAAAATATTGAAAGACACAGAAAATACTAAGGGAAGATGGGAGGAGTACACAGAGTCACTGTACCAAAAAGAACTAGTTGACATTTAACCATTTCAGAGGCATGCATATGATCAAGAACCGATGGTATTGAAGGAAGAGGTCCAAGCTGCAGTGAAGGCACTGGTGAAAAACAAGGCTCGAGGAATTGACAGAATATAAAGTGAGATGTTTCAACAAATGGATGCAATGTGGAAAGTGTTCACTCATCATCTATGCCAAGAAAATTGGAAGACAGCTACTTGGCCAATCGACAGGAAGAGGTCCATATTTGTGCTCATTTCAAAGAAAGACGATTCAACAAAATGCAAAATGGACTCCTGATGTGGCACTGTAGGATAAGCACTGAACTGTGGACCACAAGGTCAATGGTTTAAACCCACCAACTGCTCCTTGAAAACCCCATACAGGGTCGCTATGAGTTGGAATTTCCTCTACGGCACTTAACAACAACATCATCATTAATATCACACATAAGTAAAATTTTGCTGAAGATAACTCAACAATTGTAGCAGTATGTTGATAGAGAACTTCCAGAAATTCAAGCCAGATTCAGAAGAGTATGTGTAAAGAGTGATATCATCACTGATGTCAGATGCATCTTGACTGAAAGCAGAGCATATCAGAAAGATTCTTGCCTATTTTGGAAATTCCAGAACTCTAAATTGTGCTCATACAGAACCTATACATAGACCAAGAGGCAGGTGTTCGAAAAGAACAAGGGGATACTGGGTGGTATAAAGTCAGGAAGGTGTATGTTAGGGTGTGTACCTTCACCATACTTAGTTAATCTGTATGTTCAGCAAATAATCCAAGAAACCAGACTACGTGAAGAACACAGCATCAGGATTGGAGGAAGACTCATAAACAACCTAAGATATGCAGAGGACACAGCCTTGCTAGCTGAAAGTAGAGGACTTGAAGCACTTGCTGTATCAAACAGTACAGCTCTATGTTGAGAAGTAATCCATACTGAAAGCAAGATAAAGAAAACAAAAATTCTCATAACTAAATCAATAAACAGACTCTTGGTGTCGTGCTGTAGGATCAGCACTGGACTGTGAACCACAAGGTCAGCAGTTCAAACCCACCAGCTGCTCCTCGGAAACACAATACAGGGTTGTTATGAGTTGAAACCAACTCCAAGGCACTTAGCAGCAACCGCAGACCAATAAACAACATCATGATAAATGGAGAAAATATTGAAGTTGTCGATTATTTCGCTTTACCTGGATCCACAATCAACAACCATGAAGAAATCAAAGGACACAACGCAATGGCAAATACACTGTAAAAAACCTCATCTCAATCTGATGTGAAAACTGAGTAATGAATAAGGACGACCCAAGAAGAATTGATGCCTTTGAATTATGATGTTGGAGAATATTGACTATATTATGGGCTGCCAGAAAAAGGAGCAAATCTGTCTTAGAAGATGTATAGCCAGAAGCAAGGATGGTGAGATTTGGGCATGTTATCAGGAGGGACCAGTCCCTGGAGAGGGACATCATGCCAAAAAAATGGGAAGACCTTCAATGAGATTGAAGCCACACTTAAGGAGCTCTGGTAGCGTAGTGGTTACGAATTGGGCTGCTAACATCAAGGTCATCAGTTCAAAACTACCAGCTGTTCCGAGGGAGAAAGATAAGGCTTTCTGCTCCCGTAAAGATTTATAGCTTGGAAACCCTGTGCTAGGCACATAACAACAACATCAGTTCAGTTAATCCTGATGACAATCTTGATGATTACCTTCATTTTATAGATGAGTCACTATTCTCACTTCATAGGAGAAAACTGAGGCACAGAGAGGAGAAATCGCTTGACCAAGGACACACACTCATAGGTGGTAGAGTCAGATGTTCTGGCTCTAAGCTCCGTGAGCAAACTGTACATACTACAGGAAGATGGCTTTGGTTCTCCCGAGTCTGTGTGTGGTTGGAGTGTGTGTCTTGGGACTCAGGTAAGCAGAGGGCTGTGTATGTGTTTCTGGGGGATTCTCTAGGCGCCCATATCTGAGCCCATAATCTCCAATGACACACCCAGGTTCAGGGAACTGTGCTCTCTGGGAAGTATTTGTGGAGATTTTGCTACTAGTTATCGGCACAAAGCCAGGTGGAAAGAGGTCTTAGATATCAGCAGTGTGGTTCCAGGGCCTCGTCCCTCCCCCAAGCCTGGCATTGTCCCTGGGCCCTCACCTGCTCTCCACATCCTGGGGAGGGGAGACAGTCCCCAGGTAGGATCAGCAGAGACAACATGGCTGGCTTCTCCCTCTGGCTTCACAGGAGAATCGACTCCAGGGCCCTTCTCCACAGCCCAAGAGAAATTCAAGTTTCTGCTTCCAACTAGGTTGGACTCGCCTGGGTCATAACTCTAATCAGCTGTGTGGCATGTCACAATTTACTTTCCCTCTCTGAGCTTGTTTCCGCTTTTACCCAATGGGGCGAATCATGCAGCACAGCCAGATTCCAGGAGTAATTTCATGAACCAGAACCTCTTTCCTCGTCCTTCCTAGGTTCTGGAGCCCAAGGGTAAAGGCCCCTGAGTGGGGACAGGGAGGGCTGGGGTCACACCCCAGCTGCCAGACTCACCCAGCCCCATCCATGGGCAGTCAGCTGCTTGTCCTCCAATGCATTCAGCCACTAGTACTTACCCAAGAGGTAGTCCACAGCACGGAGGTCGAGGCTCATGAGTTCAGTGCGATTCCAGACGTAGTGGGCATGCTAGAAGGAAGGACCTGTGTCAACACATGCCAGGGACTTGGGGGAATCAGAGGAAGACATGTATTTGCTCTTTCAGTCTGTTAACAATCCCTCTCTAAAGACCTATTGTTCATCGCAAGAAATCACTAACAGGCAACTGTCATTTAGGGGATGAAAATTCTGAAGGTGGGGATGTGGGTAGCCAAGATCAGGGAGGGCTTCCTGGTGGAGGTTTTAACAGCAGGACAAGGCAGGGGTCCCAGGCAGAGGTATCCTAGGGTGAAAGGGAGAGGCAGGTGTAGGTCATGAGGGGTCTGGAATGCCTGCCAAGGGATGTGGGTTGTGTATTCTGAGCTCTGTGTTTTGAGAACCAAAGAGGAAGCAAAGGCTCAGGTCTGTCTAGGAGGGTGGGAGGAAGTGTTGCTTCCTCAGAGCATAGAGATAGCACCATACAGGACCTGAACTGGGAGTCCCAGCACTGCCAAAAAGCAGCTGTGTGTCCTTAGGAAAGTCGCTTGCCCTCTCTGGGCCATGGCATTAGCAACAATGGTTTTCAAGCTTATTCCTTGGAACAGCCTCAGGGGTTGCTATGGGGAGGGTGGTAGACTGAGAAAGGGAGATTCCAGAAATGACCATAAGTGACCCCTGCTTCACCAAGGAGGCCTTCATTTAATTGTACAAGGTGGGTACACTTATTTCCATTTTACAGACGAGGACACTGAGGTACACAGATGTTCATGTTAAACCCATTCTAAGCAACTAAGCAGAGTCCTGGTGTGGTGCTGTGGGTTAATGCATCAGATTGCAACGTTGTTTGAACTGCAAGGTCGGTGGTTCAAGCTCACCAGCTGCTCCTTGGAAACCCTATACAGGGTTATGGGTCAGAATTGACTCACAGCACTTAACAACAACAAGCCACTAAGCAGTTCAAGTTAAACTCACTTTTAAGAATCTTTCTTCAAGGGTACCATAATGACACCCTGTCAGGCCCAGCCCCAAAGCAGGGGTGTGCACCCTCTCTATGTCTCAGGAGCTCAAGGGTCAGCACCCTGGTTAGACAAAAACGATTATGCTCTGGCCCCATTTGTATGTGGAGAAACTGAGGCCGGAAGGAAAAGTGTCTTCTGGGTTTGGTCAGGATGGGGCTTGGGCCCAGCTTGCGCTGACTCAGGAGGAATGAAACGGGTTTAAAGCCACTCATCCACCCCCATTCCACTCCATAGAAGCCATTCCCGGGTCCCTGCCCCCACTAGAATCTTGGCCCAGCTGTATCCCACGAGGCCTCCCGGAGGGCCAATCCTGGAACCCTCAGAAACCCAACCCCAGAGTAACATCAAAGAGGCTGCCAGACTGCTCCCCACTGTCTTCAGCTCTGACCACAGTCATTTCCAGACCCCAGCTGCCCGTGCCTGGTGGCTGCTGCAGATTTAAAGGGCCATTCCCACGGCCCCTGATTCCTCTGGTCCAGTCCTTTGCTCTGGGCAAAGTAAGCTCATGTTCAGGGCCTTCCACCTCACCACCATTAGAGGCTTGCACCCTCCCCAGCCAAACAGACCCCCCTCCTGCCTGCTATCGCTGACTCCCCATGCTCACTCCACCCCAGCCCTGTCTCCAGCCCTCCACTCTCCAGCAGGTGTTTCTCCATCCCTCCTTGCTCAGGGCTCTCGACCTCTCCCTGTGGCTTGTAACCTCTGTAATCCACCTAGCACTGAGAGTTTCTTTCCCTGACCATCTGATTCATCCTTTGTACTTCATGTCTCAGCAGTCTGTGCTCAGGTTGACAGTCTGCTGGGATTATTCCCCACCCATGCTCCTGCACATCACCTAGCCCTCTGGATCCAGAGCTGCTTCATCATCTACGACATCTGTTCGCCCGGTTGAAAGCCTTGCAGCCAGCTGGCCCCTGGATGAAGTACCTTGTGCCTTGGTTTGAAGCTCTTCCAGGTGTCGATGAGGTTCAGGCCGTCTAGCCTCGTGCCCCGGGCCTTCTCGTCCATCTCATACTCCACATCAGTTCTGTTCTTGGGGAACATGTACTTCCGGCCGCCTCCCATGATCACCTAAAGAGGACGGTAGTCATTGGTACCCAGAAGCCCCAGGAACTCCAGCCTGGACAGCCAGACCCTGGGGATGGTGTGGGGCACTTTTCTATCATGGTGGGTTCAGTCCCCCTGCCCTGTCAGCCTCTAGCATTCTAGTCTGGGAGGAAAAATCTACTTTCTTCTGACCCACAAGATAGAATCATACATACCAGGGCCATGGTTTGGGGCTTTAGGGTGAAATACTAGAGATACCAGTAACCTAGAACCAAATGCTTCTGAGTCACGGCAACAGCATGCCTATACTCCCTAGTTTTCAGTTGCTGGTTTTGGGAACTATCATCAGACTTTCTTCTGTGGCAATCCTGGTTGGACTTGAACCTCTAACCTTCAGTTAGCTGCCAAGCACATTAATAGTATGGGCCATTCAAGGACACTACCAATGGTCTACTACATTAATTGACTTTCAGAAGTCTGACACACAACTCCCACTTTATTAGTGGAATGCCATGTACTGACCGTTCACCACACAGTGATGGGATACGGCCTTCTTTTAAATTTGTAGCAAAGCTGCCAGGGCACTGATGTTACCTCACTTTCCAAATAATGAAACAGACACAGAAAGGTTACATAGCTAGTAAATAGTGGGATCAGGATTCGAACCAAGGGCCTCTGATTCTGGTGCCAGAGCTGTGCTGTGTGCTGGGAGTTAAGGACAGGGCCTCTAAGAGCTTCTTCTCCCCATTGTGAGGCAGACGCCTGCTGGCCAGAGGCCCCAGCCAGGGAGGTCTTAGGGCAGCCCAGCTGGGAGCTGGCCCACCACAGCCTGGGCAAACAGCGGGGCTGGGACGCACCGTCTGTATAATTACTGCCAGGCTAATTTTACCCACCCCACTGGCATGTGCGGGCGGATGGACGCGGGGCTGTTTGTTTTCCTTCAGAGTCCATGTTTGAAGTCTTGACTATTTTTAAAAAGGGGGCCAAGAGCAAAACAGCTGCTGCCCGCCATGACCACCTGACCAGTGTCCTCTTGTCACCGTGGGCTCTGGCCCAGGCCGCTGCCCCTGGCTGACACCTTGAGAGATCAGAGCCCAGAGGATGGTACCAGCACTGTGGTCCCCAGGCCTGGCACTTCGTAGCTTCTTCTCTACCTTGCACCCTGTTTCCTCCTCAGAACCCAGGACCTGCAGGGCAGAGAGGGAGCCAGGAGCCCAGGCAGGGGTCAGAGGTGAGGCTGGTGCCCCAGGACCAGTTGAGACCATGGGGTACTGGAAAGGACATGGGCTTTGCTGTCAGACTTGAGTTTATATCCTGCTATTTCTTATTGACCCAGAGCCTGTTACTTAATCTCTCAGAGCCTCAGTTTCCTTATCTATAAAATGGAAATAATACCTACCGGCCCATAGGGGTGTCATGGGAGGAAATACAAGAGGGCTTCAGAATGTTTGTGTAAAAATGCAATGAAAAGTTAATGGACTTTTTGAAGTTCCCTCATAGAGCAATCCAACTTAGTCCTCAGCACCCATGGGGACTCTGGTAGCTATTTTCACTGCCAGGAATAGTAGAAATAAAAATATTTCCAGAGGGGCAAGTTCCAGCCAGGAGCTCTGTGGGTAGAGATGTTTGAGAGAAGGGGACCCTCCCCCTCAACACCAGTGTTCCCACAGAACCTGACCCCTTGGCATTTCCAGGGTGGTAAATGAAGCCCCCAATCTTCTTGCTGGAGTCTCATCGTTTCCAACCCAGCAGGGACTTCACACGGACTCATTAAACTCCCAAATAACAGACTTGCTGTTTGGCTTTGAGGTTTGGGTTTGTGTCTTTCTTTCTTTCTTCTCTCTCTCTCTCTTTTTTTTTTTAGCAGAAGATATTTATTTTCAGGGCGGACACCAGGATTTGTGTTTCATGGAGAACCTAGGGACTGAGGGGCTTTGGGGTAGTGGTGGTGCAGGGGGAGATGGGGTGGAATTGAGAGGACAGGGAGGGAAGAAAGCCCTCACACTTGTCCAAACTCTTTCCCTTGTTTCTTCTCTCTCTCCCTCTGAGTGTCTCCTTGTAAACCCCCCCCCCACCAGCCCACAGTGGGAAAGCCTCTCTCCCCCTCAAGTTCCTGTCCCCCATCTCGGGCTGTGCCTGCCAAATCTCTCCAAAGAGCAGCCCCGTAATTACACCCTGTGCTTGTCCAACAAATGTTCTCACATCCATGATCTCATTGTGGCCTCCAAGGGTCCCGGGTCCCAGGAGGAGGCAGGTGGGCCCTCTGTTCCCCAGACAGGTGGGGAAACTGAGGCTTCAAAAGGGAAAATTTGAGGCTTCAGACTTTGCCTCAAATGTCTGCTCACTGGGCAGGGTCCACAGGATTCTTTGTCCTGAAAGGCGGGTGCTTAATCCATGGCTTGGCAGAGTGAAGACATGGGCTGATAGGGGAACCAGGGTTACTAATAACACGGAGCAATTGGGGAAGGTCAGGGGGGAGGGCAAGGGTAAGTCTAGCAGGGTCTGGTGGTGGGAGAAACCGAGGTGAGGAGTGGCTGGGGCCTGAGAGCTTTTTCAGAGCCTCACTGAAGCCCCCTTTTCAGGCTCAGGGGACCAACATCTCCTCCCCTCCTGCCTTTCCCCCTATCCTATCCAGCAGTCAGTAACATGAGTCTGTGCATAGAAGAAGGTGGAGGTTTTGGTTCAGAACAGAGTGTGTGCCTCAGGTGGGCCACGTCTGGGGGCATGTGCTATGCTGGCGAGTGTGGGCTTGCTCAGCATGTAATGTGTGTGTTTTGGAGTAGGGACACGTGGCTAACCCATTAACACTACCACTTTCTGGGCACTCACTAAGTATTAGGCCCTGTGCTAAACTCCCTACAGAGATTAGTTCTCGCAATGGGCATATGGATGCAAGTATGTTGCAAAAAGGGGCACATAGAAACTCAGAGAGGTCAAGGAACTGACCCAGGGTCACACAGCTAGCCAATAGCAGATCCAGGATGCAAAGTCAGGAAATTTAAAACGAGAACTTGCAGTAATCATTGTTCACACTGCCTCTTTTCCAAGAGCATGTCTGTGTGTTGGTTGTGTGCACAGAGCATCTGCTGCCTATGTAGGTATGACTATGCAGGGCAGGTACTCCCCTCAAACAGCCACTGTACCTGCGCCCCCACAACTCCCATGATGGTGTGTGTATGCAGGGGTGCTGTGTCAGGTTCCCATTTTTGGAATAATCCCTGGGCGCCTGTTCTTGGGGTGTGGTGGTGGCCACATTAGGGTTTAACTCCAGCCCCACCGCAGAGAAATCCCCCAGTGCCTCCCTGCCCCAACCGCAAATCCCCTGATGGGCTGGGAGCCCTTCCAGCTATGGGTAACCAGGCCAAGCAGTTTTTCTTGGGCCAGCCTGGGCCTGAGGCTTCCGACCCACCCGAGGACCCACCCCATCAACCCTGTCCCTGCACGGCCCCAGCCTGCACTCACCTCAATATCCTTGATGTTATGCATGAGCTGGTAGGCAATATCCTTGCAGCCCTGACTCAGGGCCTCTGGGGGCATCTCGTTGTCAGAGTACCAGTCTCGGTCGGCAGAGTGGGCGTAGGTTGCACTGGGTGTAGCATGGTTCACTCGGGTGGTGGTCACGACGCCCACAGACTTGCCTGAGCAACGGGATGGGGTGTCTGAGCTGCCTCCCTCTCCCTATCTTAGTCTCCCCATCTGGACAAAGGGTATGTGGGTAGTTTCCAAATACCCTGGCTGCTCAGAACACACCACCTTGGTGACCCTCCCGTCCCGATGGCCCTGGGCTGGACTCCTCCCCCCAACATAGGACCCAGCAGAACCCAACTCCTCCAGGAAGCCCCCCACTCACAGGGATTCCTCTCAAGGAATCTTAAGTTAGACATGGCTCTGTCATCTGAGTTGGTCTGCCTCGTACTCTAATTTTATGTACTAGGTCACCCCAATTCCATGTTCTCCCTTCTTCTAAGGGAGAGGGAGGAAGAGGAATGGGACTAACTCCTTATTTTGTACTCACACCCCACTTTCGAGAGGCCTACGTTTGCATGCCCATTTCATACCCAGCCAAGTGAAGAATCAATTACCCAGTTGCCATCAAGTCAATTTCAACTCATGGTGACCCCATATTATCAGAGTAGGGTCTTTATATGGCTGAGTTTTGGAAGTAGCTCGCCAGATCTTTCTCTGGGTAGACTCGAACTTCCAAACTTTCAGTTAGTTGAGTTCACTAATGATTTGTACCACCCAGGGACTCAAGGAAATGAGATTGTTTGCTTGGGATCTCAACTGGTCAGTGTAACACCTGAAACTAGAACCACCCCTAAAATCCACTACTAGCCTTCCCTATCATGGGGTGGGGGTTGGTTATTTGATGAGCATTTCATAGACTCTTGAAACAACAGAATTGTAAGAGCCCAGAAGGGAATTGTTTTCAACAATCTCTCCATTGTACAGGTGGAAAAATTGAGGCCCAGGCAGTTCACAGAGCTGGGCCCTGTTCCCTGCTGTTTCCCCACTCACCAGCGTCCTTGGCCCAGCGCAGGATGGAGGTGACCTCGTTTCCCTGAGTGGTGTTGCATTGGGAGCGCTCGGTCGCTGCGCTCACCCCCACAGTGCCCTCATTGGCCTTTACCCCACACAGATACGCCGTGGCAGTGCCTGCACTGTCGGGGACCTGAGCGTTGGTGTTGTATGTCTGTAGGTGGCAAAGAAGGATCAGGAGATGGTCAGGTCTTGGCCCATGCTGCTGCCCACCCCAGCTTCACACACACTCATAGAGAACGGGTATGACCCTGAATTTTCCCTGAGAGACCCCTGGTTGCCTGCTCCCTGTCCCACTCAGTGCCCAGGCAGTGATATATATAGCAGGAAGGGACCAGAACCCAGATCTCCAATATGTGGGGAAAAGAGGGTTGGGGTAGGGAGCAGGCTCAGCCAATTGAGGCCTCTCAGGAGCTCTTGAATGGAGAGGGCACAGGAGAGTCATAAAGAAGGGAGTGGAGAACTGGTAGAGGGAGGAGTAGTGAGGGAGAGCTAGGATCTAGAAGGAGATGGGGAGGGTGGGAATGAGAGTGGGTGCTCTCTGCCACCCCCCAGCATCATCCCGTTCAGACCTGTAGTTGTTGTTAAGTGCCGTTGAGTCGGTTCCGACCCATAGAGACCCTGTATAGGGTTTCTGAGGAGTTATTGGTAAGCTTGAACCATTGACCTTGTGGTTCAAACTGACTTTGCAGTCCAGTGCATTAACCCGCAGTGCCACACCAGGACTCCAGACCTCCAATTGTTGTTGTTGTTGTTATGTGCTATGGAGTCGGACTCATAGCGAGTCTGTACAGAGTTTCTGAGGCTGTATGTAAATCTTTATGGGAGCACAATGCCTCATGTTTCTCCCACGGAACAGCTGGTAGTTTTGAACTGCTGACCTTGCAGTTCACAGTCCGATTCATAACCAGTACGCTACTCTAGATACAGGTCCTGAAACTACCTTTCTGTCTCTTTTCCTCAGCAATTTGTGAGCAACTAAACCCGTTGCTGCCCCATAGGGTTTCCAAGGCAATCTTTATGGAAGTAAATTACCTCTACTTTCTCCTTCAGAGTGGCTGCTTGGTTTGGACTGCCGACTTTTGGTTAGCAGTCAAGTGCTTGACCATTGTGTCACTCACCAGGGGTTCCTTTGTGAGTTACAAGAAGGGCGACTCACTGTCATCCAGCCCATTCCAACTCACAGTGACCCATGAAGGGTTCACAAGGCTGTGACTCTTTAATATGTGCTGTCAATCAGTCCCAACTCATAACGACCCAGTGCAGGGTTTATGAGAGTGGTTGGTGGATTTGAATTGCCAACCTTGTGGTGGTTAGCAGTCCAGTGATTGTTCTACATTGCCACACCAGGGCTCTATAAATCTTCACAGGAGCAGAAAGCCACAGCTAACCTCTGCTGTTAGAAGTCACGATGGGGGCTGTTCTTGGTGGGGAGGGGGCTGGTGACTAGAGGGGATTCCAGGGGACCTCTGACCACTGTCATGCTTCTTGACTTGGATGCTGGTTAGATACATACGTTCAGTTTCTGAAAATTCAAACTGTTCAAGGCAGTTTCAAAAAGTTCATGGGAAAAGAAGATTAAAAGAGAGTGGTATTTTTCCATGATCTCTTGGAAGTCCTCTCGTATATTGTATAAATGTCAAAAAGTAACGTTGTGCTCCACATAACATTAATAGGAGTGGCTCAGTGGTGGAATTCTTGCCTTCAGTGTGAAAGACCTGGGCGAAATTCCCAGCCAGTGTACTATACAGGTACAGCCACCAGCTGTCTGTCAGTGGATGATCACGTGTTGCTGTGATACTGAACAAGGTTCAGCGGAGCCTCCAGACTAGGGAGAAAGGCCTGGTGATCTATGGAAAATTAGAATCCAGTGAAAATTCCATGGATCACTAGGGATCAGCAACGAATCATGAGGCTGGGCTGGTGCAGGACTGGAGGGCATTTTGTTCTACTGTTCATGGGATCGCTATGAGTCATGGATTAACCCAGTGCAAGCTAACCACAATATACTTCAATGACAAAAGTTTGAAAAATTAATGAGCTAAACTTCTGAAAAGGAAGAAGTTGTCTTGGGAAAGAGCTGCAGCAGCCCTCATTTCACAGTGGGGTTGGTTACTGGGACCCAGGAGAACTGAATGCCTGGCAGGCTGTGCAGGCTAGAGGCCAGT